ACAATGGCGTAGTAAGTTTGTCCTTATTTCTAGTGTTTATTTTATGTCTGTCACTATTCTTTAGGTAATAATTAAGGTTATGACGTATATACAAAACATTACAATAAATGTATTGAGAAGCAACAGTGATATACTCACTGAACCTCTTTGAAAAGATCTCTGAGTGAATTCCGGGCTCCGATATTGTAGATTGCTCGGACAACTCTTTTTTGAAGAATAAATATAGAAATTATATCTGATGCACTACCCCACAACAAAATGCCGTACGACAAGATGCTGTGAAAATAACTAAAGTAAACAAGTCTGGCAGTGTCGATGTCTGTTAGCTGCCTAACCCTTCTAATCGCAAAAACCGCGGAGCTCAGCCTATTCGCAAGAGATGATATATGGGGACTCCACTGGAGCTTTGAATCTACTGTAATTCCCAGAAATACAGCAGACTCCTTCCCAGAAATACAAAACAAATAGCACCCCGTTCGGCATCGTTGACTGCATAACGACCTACATTTAACTGAGGTCGTAATTCGATAGTTGACACATGATCACTTTTCAATGTTGTAACTAGAAGAGGAATGTACTCTCCATAGCTTGGTAGAGTTATAAAACGGTGATATATTTAAGACTAATTATTCATTTATGCCCATTATTGGTTTTGAAAACTTACATCGTGAGCGTTTTGAACTTTTTAAAAGCGAACAGCGATATATTGACGTCGCTGTCCTTTATTTACGTCTAGAGGAGCAAGAAAATTGAAAGTTCTAGAAAAACAAGTTTTTTTACTAAACGTTTTCAATAATAAGCAATTAACATTAGAATAACAGTAGACTTATTTTTAAACCAAACATCCGATATGATCCTATCCTCCGATCCTATGACCCTTATCTAATCTTCTCATTTAATAGGAACAGCAATTAACTTCACTGTCTCGTTCTCTCTTTTAAAGCATATGTTTATATAAGTGTATACTTTTCATAGAATGAACAAAGGCTTAAATTATACGGTCATGTAAGAAAATTGTCCATAAGAAAACATTAGGTAGATAGTTATCATATTATTATTCTGTTGTTATAATATATTATGTTCCAGCTATTGAAGGCGGGCGATTTTAATAAATAATAAGAATAATTCAGATTGACCTATTGTTTCTTATGCATAAAGGACTTTCAACGGAAAATAATTTAGTCCACTAAAACTAAATGCACCGAACATTAAAAAGGCATTGATATACAATTCCAATTAAAAAAACAATATCCAGAAGTATAAATCGTATAAAGGAATCGAAAATCTTATATTTCATCGTTGATTACATGTTTTGATAATTTGCAATTCGTTTTACTGCCATAAAAAATGTTTTAAATTTCTTCATTTGTATTTTGCAACATCAAAGCGCCATTGTGGCTAAATATGCGAAAATTTTCTAGTAGGTACCTACTCCAGAACATTATTTATCGTTATTCTATGATATGATTGATTGTTTTTTTTTTTTTTTTTGACAGAGCGTTTTATAGTTTACTTTGATTTTCAAGTATGATTAGAAGTTATACAAAATGTTTGCTGCTTTTAAAGACCCAATATTATAATACCACCACATACTGCTACATCATAAGTAATTAATAAAATTAAAATTATTCAGATTTTTCCTTTGATTTAGATTTTTCGTTTGATTAAAAGTAGGAAATAGGTGTTTAAAATAATATCAGTTTCGTTTATGAGTTGTTTTCAATAACATATAAAGGGAAGTGTGTAATTTATAAACATTCCAAAGACATACAAACTTCTTCAAATAATTGTTTGGAATATGGCAGTGGAGACCGGAAATCGATATTTAATGGATGAAGTCGTTAAGCGTACTTACAAAAATTCGAACGATATTGTTGTCAGGACAGCTCTTTATCTTTGATAATTTATTGAGCTTTAATAGCTCTGTGCCCTGATGCTGGGTTTTAAATCAACACTCGATGAGACCAGAGTACAAATCTCGATTTCGGCGCTAAAGAAATTTTATGTTTTTAAATACTGACTTACACTCATGATCACAACGTATATTAGTCAGCAGCGATAGCAAGATTTTCGAGAAGGCGTTTTTTTTTATTTTAAGCTCACATAGAATAACATTCACTCACTTAATAAATCCATGTTTTAAACTTTTCATGTAAGATATATATAACAATGCTACAAAAAATATTTCGATAGTATAAATAAAGATAGAAGAATTTAGCAAATAAAATATTTGATAATTTTCATCAGGAAATAAAATATACGTATGTGTCAGTTCAATAAAACTTAAACTAACACATTATTTATCGCCACAACGAAAATCTTCTGTTCGCCTTGTACATCAAACACAGAGAAAAGCTACATAGATAGTATAAATATACGAGCGAGCGCTATTATTCGTCGAAGGTAATTTTCCTGTTCACTTATTTAGTCTTTCGACGGAAAATCGCCGAATCAAAGCGGCTGCCAGTTCGAACAAAGAAGCTGTCATCGCTTCGGACTTTCGCGGAATAGCCCGCCGGCCTACTGCCCGCTTCTATACCCTCTATTTTTTAAGTTATACTTCTTTTGGCGGGTTTAGAAAAAATTACAAGCGTAATTTTTTTTTCCAAAAAAGTAACACGATGAAGTTGGTTGCTTTCCGACTAACTTCACGGTATAACTATGGCAATCTATAACAACTTTTGACATTAACCTATAATCTAATAAAATTTCAAATTATTTAATTAAACCGTTGTCAATCATCACATTAAATGTCTTTTTAAAATACTGAGTACTGGCACAGGGGATACATTTTTTAGTCATCTTTCTTTAATTACGCTAAAGAAGTTTTGTTTAGAATGTAAAAAAAAAGTTAAGGAAATATACATACACTTTTTTACGTTAGCTGCCCTTTTGGCATTGATATTCAGAAAGACGGAATAATATGAAGTAGGGCGTTGAATGACAGCCAACATCTTTTGATTGACGTAATTATGCTATGCACTTTCTCGGAACGATTACGTTTTGGCAATAAAGGTACTGATATCATTGTCGTATTTATTCATTAATCAGAATCATTTGATGTAAGTGTTTGTAATTCAAATTATGACTAATTTTGGCTTCATTTGAAATATTTGATATTTTGTCATTTCATTGAGGGTCATTGCCAAGACGTTTACGTCTATCTAAATATATCTACGGTGGTAGAGCCACGCAGCAGCCTCGGCTGTTGCACGAATGGGCAGGCTCGTCCGGGTAAGTATCACGACCCACCAGAAGACCGGCGTAAAGTGGAAGTATAATATTTTCGCGTTTCGTCTGGTGAGTGAGGTGGCCGGAGCCCAATTTTCAAAAGGTTGTCCAACGCATCTGCAAGCCTCGGGTGTAGCAGATGTCCATGGGCGGCGGAATTCACTTAACATCAGGTGAACCGCCTGTTCGCTTGGCAACTTCTCACATAAAAAAAAATATATATTAGCAATACATCATCGTCATTAGACGGAAGACGTCCACTGTTGAACAAATGCCTACTCCTTAGAACGCCACAATGAACCACACTGCCATTTGCATCCACTGGTTGCCTACGACTGTTACGATTTGCAATTATGATGTACTAGTGACCCGCCCCGGCTTCGCACGGGTGCAATGTATTATACATATAAACCTTCCCATCTCGTAAAAAAACCGCATCAAGATCCATTACGTAGGGACAGACAGACAGCGGGACGACTTTGTTTTATACTATGTATTGATATTGATACAAGACTAAAGCTAGAATGATTCAATGCTCTTATCTCAGGTCAACTAGTCAGTCTAAATAGAGAAATGCTTTCTGCATTAGGAATTAGTCTGTTCATTGGCGGAAGTATTTGCGCTTCGACCTAAATGACCGGTGCAGAAACTGCAAGCTGCAATGTCATAAGGTTTTTTGTTATTTGAGAAAGTGGCAAACGAGCTGGCGGTTCACCTGATGTTAAGTGATAACCGCCGTCCATGGACATTTGCAACACCCGTAGGGTTGCAAATGCGTTACCATCTTTAAATAAAGTGGGCCCCGGCTACCACATTCCCCAGACGAAACGCAGAAGTGTAACGCTCTACTTTACGCCGGTCTTCTGTGAGGTCGTGGTACTAACCCGGACGGACATGCCCATTCGTGCAACAGCGTTGCGTGGCCCTACCGCTGTAAGGTGAACAGAAGGCGACACTGATGAGGTGAATCAAATTTGACAGACGTGAAACCGCGGGTCCTAAAGGCATAGTTAAGTAAAATGTAACGTACAACACATGACTTTGAGATTAACTCAATGTAATTACACGTATTAAAGAGAATGTAATATTTACCCAACAACTTTGATATTGGGAAAGTCAAGTTAGCTAGATGCTGTAAAATATATTGTAATAAAGATAAATTATTACATTACTGATCCCAAATAATTGCCTATTCGGCAATATTCTGAATAATAAATGGAAAACCGGAATCACGTGCAGTTACCGGAATCAGTTGCTAATTAAAATTTTACTCGCTGATAGCCCATCAATTTTATATTAACTGTTATCGAGTTCGGTCGTCGTCAGAATATTGTAATCAAGTTAATAATAAATTGCTATATAAAATTTAATTTTAGTATTAAAAATTGTATAAGTAGTAATTGCCTGCAATTAACTCTTGACTACTTCAGATATGTAAATACTTGCTTACTGTTTGATGTCTTACAATTAAAAGTGAGTTATTTGAACTACTGCTAACTACTAACTTAACACGTAATGGTGACCCCATTACGTGTTAGGGGCGGTTAGTCAGATTCAGATATTTCACCTTTGCTTAATTTAACAATAACAATTAACAACTATCTGTTCAGCAAATTGCCCCCGAGCCACGGTCTTACTGTTTTGACTCTACATCTATTAACGTCACCACAAGCACCACAACAATCTAACGACTGTAAGCCACTAACGCAGGTGTGCGTAGGTGCAATTACTTGCGACTACCGACAAAACGCTTTTCTTTGGAAAGTGTAATGGTTGCCCGAGCGGTGACTCCATTAGCCAAGTTAATTGGTGAGCTCGGTGAAGAGAGCGTGACAGTGTAAGTAAGCGCACTTGCCGCCCACCTGGAGGCTGTAATGAGACCCGAAACTTATGAAAGCGTTTTGATATATATTAAACCTTCTTTAGAAAAGGTTAGTGTATTTCTTACGGATAAAAGTGAAGCGTCTGGTTCAGCTTAAAAATATCCGAGGCTACTCCCTAAAAGGACCTTTTGGAGATATACCATGGCCACACAGAAGACCTGAATGAAATGGAAGGTATTATACTTTCGAGTTTCGTCTGGTGAGTAATGCTCCGTTGTCAAGTTTTGTCAAGGGAGCAGTGTCATATTTCATAGTTCTGAACGTTAAATTCAAAATGAACATAGGTACGTATAATTTTATATATAGCTTTGAAATTGATATCGTCATCATAATTTCTACCTGTTTTTGTTCACAACTGGACATAGGCCTTCTCAACAGACTGCCACGAATCGAGATCCAGGTACCTGCGTCGATCGACTCTCCTCACTTTCTAATATTTGCGCAGTTCGTTACTCCATCTAGTCCCTCTACGCCGATTTAGCCAATACGAGGCTGCAAAGTTCACATCACAAATTTAAACAGCACACCCGAAACTTCAAAAAAAAATAAAATAAAATTTATTAAAAATTTGGGCTCAATCGATGAACTTAATGCGCTATTATTAATATTGTCAATTTGTCATTTCTTCTCCGCCGGCCGCATTATAAATCTTAACATGCTAAATTCGCGGAATAGCGAAGAAAGTTGTTTTGAGAGTCTTCAATTGGCACACTTTTCGACTGGGTTGACAGCGCACCCACTTACTTACACGTAATGCGTACTCGCCAATGGCAGATGGAAAAAGTGCTCTCGTTAAACTTCTTAAGAACTTGAATTAAAATTCTTTTGACATTCAAATAATATCCGTTGTCTTAGAGTACCGATTTATCAGAGGAGAGGGACTATGACAAATGGATTGACACTTTTTATTTTTCAGACGCAAGTTACTTTTATTTTATTAATGTAACGTTCTTTTTTTTACCGTTTTAAAATTTAATGGTATGATGAGTAAAGTATATGATTAGTTTAGGAGGTTTTTTATAAAAATTTGAGATCCTTAAAGTTTGACGGAAACGAGTTTTATGAACGATGAAAGCGTGCTATAAGGTCCTAGTAAATCTAAACACCGCAGTCAATTCAAACGGCTATCGCGTAATTAGGTTTGTTTGAATTTGCTTATTTCCGTTTACAAACACGGCCCAATTTCGATCGCCGAGTGAAAGAAACGTCAATGATTAATACATCAATGAGTATCGGGGAAATGATCGGACCTGGGCGGTTCCTTTATTTATAGTCGAAAAAAACAGAAAGACGTGTAACTTTAAATAATCGATTACGATATGATTCGAGAATAAGAATTATGTTTGTTTGCGAAGATTGTACGAAATTTACTCATCACACATTGCGTAATGTTTGTATATCTCCGGTAATTGATAATGTTATTAAATAGTTGAAACTTAAGCGTGTGTGAAAATGTCAATTAATAAGAGGATGAGAACAATTAAGACAAATAGAAAAAACAAAGTACATTTTTCATTACGTTGCATAACGAATTGTATCCTGAGCTTATATTTAGTGTTTATTTTGGGCGGCATACTGCCAGTTAAAGTCCGGAAATGTTGATATTTATCTTCACTTAATTCTTTATAGCAATTGTACAGCATATTTTAATAAAAAAAAAATATTTTTAGTGTCCGCGCTTGCTTTATGAACACGTTCGTATTTAGCTTAATACAATTCGATGTCATTTGATCGCTATTTTGTTATTATCAGTTTCATCTATTCTTTTATATCACCATCAGCTTTGTCGCAGATCTTGTTTTTGAATTTTGATCATATCGTATCCTAAATTTTAGAACTAAACAACACAATATGTTCCATTCTTATGGTTTTTACATTTCAATAGACATATTGAAATTAGCATAATATTGACTAGGAATTTTTGACATAAAAATAAAAATCTGATCTCTCCTACCGGCAATAATGAATAATGTTTTTTTTTTTTCTTAAACTTGAGACATTCGTGAGAATACTGTAAGGAAAATATAAAAAAGAAAAATTAATACTACATTTGCTTTCTTACATCTTTTGTACCTTCAAATGTATTGTCAGCAAGTTTAAATCTTTCTTCTGATATTTTATTAAACGTATAGAAAATGTTACACAATGGTATATTGGATTATTATATAGATTCGAAAATTGCTTGGTGGAACTTATTAGCATTTTCGAATACGTAAATATTGAACGGGGAAATGGAGATTGAAATGAAATGAAATTCTTTTAGATATATTATTATTGTAATATTTTATTATTGTGTTCCTTTTAAAGCTCACAATAAGTACGCTTTGAAGAACCGTTCCAAAATCGTGTTATGAAAAAGATTATGTCCAAGTTTACTTACAAGTCATATTACGCTGACACAAAAACCCCGCCAAGAATTCAGAATACACCGGCGCATAAAGCAGTAAAATTAACAAAGAAATTACACGTGTAACATACAATCAAAACACTTCGTAAAGTATGAACATGCGACATTTTAAGTGCCTCCTCCAGAAAAAATTGTGAAAATGTGTAACTGTGTGATGATCTGAGAGTCGACATGTAGGTCAAAACATTATTTATAGTTCGCACGTCAGCATATGTGCGACTTTGTGATTTCGCGGCGGATTGAACCGAGGCCCGTTCGGCGCCACTGTTACTAACCGACTATCGGATAACAGAGTTTCGCTCTAAAACATCTAACGTGAGAATTTGTTCGCGTAGAAGCACCTATAAGGTCTACACCGCAACATATTTATAAACATATATAACGAATACAGTTATAGCAGATATGAAAAAACATTACCCTGAACAGAAATAATATTGATCGAATTTTAAGTAATAGACAACATTTTTAGGAAATAAGTATGATAGTTCAATTGGAGTTAAATGCCTCGGCCCTGTTGTGTCAAAGTCAAATTTGCAAGACGTTAGTAGACATACAAATATGTGTGGAATGTTGTATTTTAGCAACTGTCATAAAATGTGTATTTTTTAAATGGCGTTTAGAAACAAAAGTAAAATTAAAATCAAATATAATACAATATACCTAATTAAAACACTGTCCGAATATTTGTTTGGCACCCAAAATATGTAATATTTTATGTGAGGATCGATTATTGTCGATATTTAATGTATAATTATTAGCAATTTTCAGTTCTATAAAGTTTTTTCTTAAATTAGATACACAATATAATAACACAGCACTATGTAATTAATTGTGTCATCAGCACTGTTTACGATAATTTGCTCCAACTCAAATAAAACTAGTAGTTATTATTTTAAGTGTATTATGCGACGACAGCACACGAACATTAACAAGTTAACACGTTCAAAAATCTCCTTCATAGAGTTTTAAATGTATAAATTGATACATTGAAAAAATGAAACACTTTTCTTAGTAGAAAAGTCAGCGCTCGCGCAAATTTTTTACGTGAAACTTAAAAACGGTTGAGTTAGTCACTTTAACGGATGACTAAACACAAAAGTGAGAAAACGATTGGTGGAAGGCGTAACTAATGCTATGGATCGTTTAGATGTATTCTACACATATTTAATGAAGCCTTTTTAATAAACTTTAATATAATGCCATTGACATTCTGAAGTGAAAACTCTATAGCAAAGCTTTATAGTTTTCTATAATATAGACCAAAGGGGTATCACTACTAGTGGAAGATTATTATACTTAAAGGCTAACGGTCAAAGCTTTTCACTTTTGAACATAAGCGTCAATAAACTTAGGATTGAAGAAATCAATTTTAATTGTAATTCGTAAATAGACGGAGAGAAACAAAAGCTCTCGTTAAATACTTCATCGGTAAAGTAGTCAAGGTTGATGTAAGTGCAGCGGTCTGTTGATACTGTCTCTACTTATATAGAAAAGGTGGTTCGAGAGTCGGTCACCCTGTCATGGTAAGTGATTACCGCCGCCAGTGTATGTAGGTATTTGTTCTTGTTAGTACAAGTGTGCGTCGATCTGCTGGAAGGCCGTAAATGTTCCTCGCTTAAACCGACTCATTTACTCAGCTGAAGATGCTGCGGAATTGGAATTATTACTGTGTATTAATAAAGATATAAGTTTTGATTTATGAACCAATTTCTTTTTGTATTTACATATGTAAAATAATTTCAAAACATACATTTCTTCTGCAAAGGAATAAAAAAGCGATAGGACGGAGTCTGACCTAATTCTGTCATTTAAAATTGATGAAGACAAGCTAACTGAAGCTACGTATCTTAGCTTTACAGGTGCCAGTCGATATTTACAAGATTTCTACTTCTTGGCCTTAATCATCCATATGAAACTAAATGAAAAACTAAAAGAAACTAAATATGACGCAACATAGTGAAAAGAGTGTAATGAAGTGAAAGTAACATGGAAGTAATTTTAAAGTGGTGGTTTGAACATGACAGCAAATAGACAATCGGACCCACTATCTCAGATCGCCAGACTCTAGACCACCACTGCATTGTCTCTTTATACGATCTTATTTTTTCTGCCAATAAAAAGTACAGTTTCTTAGATTATCCGAAGTGCTAATCGAGCATACATAAATGGCTGAGCCAAATGCCAAAATAAACTACTAGCAAAGACATAAAATCTAGAACCGCGGTACATCAGAAACGGCCAAAAGAATTGCGGCGTTTTGATGTGGTTAATAAAATTACGCAATTATAATTTATCCACTGGACACGATCCAAGTGAAACGATTCACACACAAAGAATCGGACTTTACTCGGCCGTAAATCAGACGGTTTGTATATGTGTTAATTGTTGCGCTAAAGTGACACGAAGCAAGATTCTCTTAGTCGGGTAGAAAACTTCAAAAGAGATTTGAGAGGAAATACATAGATCAATTCGTTGGAACGACAAAATAATAAAACTATATCTTAAGGTATTATAGAGTAAACAGTACGCTCCCGATTTCGAATTTGTGTAGAGTAGGCTAATCAGAATCAAGAAATCATTTAATTTGTGATTAATTTCACACCTGACGAGAGGTTTAAATTACGCTATCGTTTACTTTCTTGCCAATCTTGCAGCACCCCTAAAGTTATAGGTTTATTAGCCTGCCGTTGGTAAATGGACTCAAATTATTATATGTAATGTGTTAGGCTTCTTCGACTCCCTTATGCTTTTGGTAGACTAGATACTTCGCATCCTTTGTTGTAGACATTCTCCGTAATGGTGCCAGCACCAATGAAATTATTAATTTTAAGTGCTGACTTTTCACGTGATCAGCGGAGAAAGAGGATATCATGAAGAAAACTGAATTTTTTCGAAAGAAGATCAAAAAAATATTCGAAAGATACGCGAAGTCTGCTGATGCGCAGTGGGGGTCGCGTAGTGCTCTATGTTCTAATACCCTCTGTAGTGGGACATGTATAGGCTGATACTTTACCTTATAACTTTAATGATAACATTAAAACAAACACAAAGACATTAAAACAAATGCAAAGCATGTTTTCCGACTCTAAAAACCAAGAAGTTCACCAAGTTCAAATTGCTAATTCATCAAATCCGATAGTTCTCCATCCAGCTTACGAGTGAGGTGAGTAAGTCTTTACTTGATCGCTTCAAAGTCGGTAGTTTTATTCGAGTGAATTTTAAGAACCAATTCACACCATACAACTCGTTAGACGACCCGTTCTTTAAAAAAAAAATATCAATCCTGTTTTTAAACCTATTACTATTTATAGTAGCATGGTAGAGCCACGAAGAGGCTGGTTTATTATTGGAAGTGTCACGGCCTCATGGAAGACCACGGCATCATGGGATGGAAGTATTATATACTTTCGCGTTTCGGCTGGTGAGCGAGGTAACCGAGACTCACTTTAAAAAAAATGTCTACTAGCCCTCAGCCGCCATCCATGAACATCTATTATACAGATGTTCATGGATGGCGGTAATCACTTCTTCCCATAAAATTGTCTAGATGTATTTTTTAACTTTAATATTCTACACTTTATAATAAACCTACAGTTTGTCCGTTTCAAGGTCTTGGGTTTTTAATCTTTATTAAGGGGGAGGGAAAAGCTTTTAACGCAGTGTTGATGCGTGGGTGGTATATAAAAGCAAATCAAAGATATCTAATTAGATCACCACATCCTTATAAAATTACATTTGAATTACGTGACCGGCTGAAAACAGTTATGCCAATATTATAGAACGCTGAACGAGACAATTCTAAAAGACACGGCGTGTAATATTAAAATTCACTTATTTTTATTGCGAAATAATAATCACATTGAAGAAGAAGGATCGAAGTTGAAAGTGTTTTATCCCAAAGCCAAATAAACGACTACATTGCTGTAATATTGGCCTAAATGTTAAAGTTACTTATACTAAAACTCCACTAAAATCATTTTCTTTACTCCAGTCGGACTTTTTGAAGTGTATAATGGGCCAGGAGACAATATCTACGCTTACCTATCAGGCTCTAAAGGGTATCAGAACAGTGTATAGCAAAACCAAGTACTTATGTATGTACTAAAATTCATATAGTACGTAATTTTCATTAGACATACTCGAGTCTATTATATATAAGTCATCGACGAATCCAATGAGCGCTCCCTGGCTCGGATGCTACACCTCATCACCGTAATCCGTCGGGCTGCACCGAAGGGTAAAACGCTATACACGAACACAACAGATCCACGATCGCTATATATGGATTTTAATTCAACTTAGAAGAGTGAAATCGGAAATTGAAAAATCTGCCGCGGACTCAATACGGCAATTAAATGTTAGAACTACCCAGATGGTAATAGTTACGCAATGTTTGTACCGAATGCAAAATTCTGTTCCGTGAGCTGACGTATCTATACCAATAATAAAATTCTAGTGACTGTCTGCGAGTTCGAGATGAAAGCGTAAATTTAAGTGAAAACTACTATTCTCAGGATGCTTAACCGATATTAACCGTAGCTACAATTATGAGTTTTAATATATTAATAACAATATAAGGAACAAAATAGCACGTAATGATCAGTGCATCAAGGAAAGATATAGTTGATATGCTGTGCGCTTAAGATATATATTAATATCAAATAGGAAAATAAACGGTGTATCTTGCTAACTTTATCTATACCTACTAATATTATGAAGAAATAATGTTTATTTTTGCTCGATGCTTTAACAATATAAAGGTTTTTATCTCTGAATAACATAATTATGCTGTATTTTTTATTAGTAATATTTTTCTACTTAGAAACTCAATTTAGCTAGAAATTTTACACTGAGTATCATCATTTATCACATCACTATAGATTTCGTGTATCTATAGAATTGACTATTGTGAAACAGAGAAAACAAAATCATAAACACCAGAAAACCACCGAAAACCGATTCGTCCGACGATGAGGTCGGACGATGCTACCAGGCGGCCATAAACGCGCCGGCGCCAACTCTACGCACAATGACGTCAGTACACTGCAATCGAGCGCATCGCATCCCCAAAGAGCGGGCGCACTCGGAAACGACCGATAGCGCACCGAAGCAACGGCCCGGCTGTAAAACGCGAAACGCCCGCGCCGATATAGAAACTTTCACGCGGCCGTCGTAAATTCATCGTAAACCACACGAAAGGAAGATAACTGTTTACGGTGATAGATGTTGAGTATGCGCTTAAGTGATTACTGTTACGCCTAGAATTTAAAAGATTTAACAAATATCGTATTACTATCAGAAATTGTCAAACATATTTACACTAAATAAACATACATTTAAAACATACACTTATGTTTGGAAAAAAAAATAACATCTATTTTCCCCTAACCCCTATTTCTATTTTTATCTATCAAAATACACGTTGTAAACAGAAGCAGTCATCAATTTAGAAGAAAGAACAATGCTTTAAATGTTAAAAGGACTGTTGCGATAACTTTTGAACGTCATAAACTTTCTAAAATCTTCATCAATTCACCTAAAAGGAAATCAAGGTAAGATTATAGGAAGTCCAATTATTGACTATCACGAATCCATAAAACGACAAATATCATCAACGCGGCTACTGAGTCCTACAAATTTAATATTCAAATTAAGTATTTATTGGCGCAATGACTGAAGAATGCGAAAACATTATATTTATTTAAGTTTAAGGTGCTAATGGGACAGTTAACTTTATTTATAAATTGTATTCTTTTTCAGCTATATCTGTAATTATTTATGTACAAAGTAAAGTAAAGTAACAGCCTATACATGTCCCACAGCTGGGCAAAGGGCTCCTCTATACAGAGGGTATCAGGGCATAGTCCACCACGCGGCCGCACTGCGGTTTCGTGGACTTCACATATCTTAGAAAAATATTTTTTTTGTTATTATTTCGAAAATATGCACGTTCCCTCACTATCTTTTCCTTCACCGATGTCCCAAATACTAAAAGGGAAACATAAGGTCTCAGATCCAACTTATAGTCCCAACGGAATTAAAACTCGCGTCGTAAGTGAACCGAATTGCAGGACCGTTAACGAATGCATCACGGTAGTGCTTTATATGGCATCGTACAAATATTGTATAGCATTTAAACGACCGTAACCTCGCACAGTTCGGTAAGGCCGACGTCCGGTGGTCATCGAACGTCCAATCGAGGCGTCGTCGTTATAAACCTGTTCGGTGCCGCATCGGATTGCATCCATCCCGCGGTAATACTTCATTGCGTGCATCAGACGGAACGATGGACGCCGATACTATATCATAGAGTGAGGAAATTGATCATAAGTCATATCCATTCGTGTAAAGCAACGTCTCTAGCAATTTGTCTGTATATATTATATTCGAAAATCGGTGATGTGATTTACCTGTACGTTTCAATTCTCATTTAGTTGCGTGTTGCAACGAATAAGACGCATCTAACAGTAATTACGTTTTGTCGTATTTATCAGACTTAAAATTGGGTGTGTATAAGTCACTATTGTATTTTGAAAATAATTTCAAAATACAATAACAATAAAAATAGACGTATGGTTATAATATATAATACGCGTATAATCCAATAACCATTGGATAGTAGATCATAGTTGCGGTCAAAATACTTAGTTTGAAAGAGCACAGCTCGTATCTCTGTATGTGACTGCAAACCTGCAATATACGTATTTTTGTTACCAAAGACAAATGCAATGTTATCAGTAGTCAAACTGGGTAATTGTTTTACATATCAATACGTGATCATATTAAGATTTAAGTAGAGATAAATAGAGAGAACAAAGACGATTCTGTAATAAAAACTAAAAGTTTAACAGTTTTGCTAAGATAATTGAAAATTAATGTTATGATAATGTCATCAATGTTACACTCAGTTCGTAAAAAGAAAAAAAAATGTATAATTTATTTAAAAACTCGTATCTGATTTTCGTTTTGGGGCTAAGAACAGTAATAATACCTCCCCTCAGATCAATTACACATACTGTAACCTGTTTCTTATAACATAAACTTATCAAGCTCTTACATCCCGTGAACAGGTTTGTTGGCTGCATCTAAAATTTTTAACGGATCTAGCATCATCCCTAAATGTGATAGGTGATTAACCGGACAATTCAATAATAGTATATCGCGTTGTATTGGTAAAGTTACACAACATTTGCCAATAGGTATCCATTGGTAAGAACTAACGGTATAGCTTAAAATAACACGGCAATCATACGAGCTTCGGCCGGCCACGAGGCGATTAGGGGCCGAGGTGGGTAATTAGGTAGTGTTAAGATCTTCCGCAACGCGTTGCAAGAAACGCATTATTTCTTAGAACACCCATTATTCAGGTCGAGCTCTTCTACGGGATGCCTAGTGCATTGTATCAAAAGCATGAAGATGTAATAATTAAGTGCAACACGGAATTAATAAAATGTATTTTAGTACACAAATACGGATTAAAAAATTTACTTTATCTATTCCGTTTAAGCTCTTTGTGAAGCCGTTGAAGCAGACTCGTATAATTAACTTGCTTTGCAAAGAATACGTGCAATATTACAAATCCATATGTAAGTAGGCCACCTAATTTAAAACGAAGTTTTTGGCATTAATAAGTTTAACGAAATAGTCCAAAACTGCTATTGATAGTTTTGGTTCAATACTGAAAGTTTTATCTTAAGTTATACACTGATTGGAATGAAAAAGCTCCTAATCGTGGAATGGAAAAATAAATAGTGCTAATCTTTTAACAGGACGCTAATCCCGAATACGTTCCATTCTTACAGCGGCGAAGGACTTTTCCTTTTTCCTACAAATTTTAATTAGCGGAAAAAGGTTTACGCGATCTTTAGGGCAATCATTTGTTTCCGAACAATCCTACAGAAAGAACCAAGAGCGAGCGTCTCACCATTTCACACCTTAAGCGCGCGCTGTACGACACGTAGTAGGAGAAAAAGCACAGCGCGGCGCATCCAGTCGAGCGATAGACACATTTAGACGGGCTTCCCCGAACTATGTTACACGCACCCGAAATACTGTGACGTGAGCGCTCGCCAAGTGGAAGCGGCGGGCGCGACACGACCGTCTTCCTGAAAACCCGCCCTCTCCCGTGCAGCCGGCCTATAAATATGACGCCGAGGCGTGCCCGCTTCAGTCGTTCAGGGGAGCTCGAGGCGAGAACCACGTGCCAAATCCAGAAATCGCAACGTGCCGACGTGCCTTGTGTTGTGTACGCATCCGCATCCCGTTGTCTATAACGCAACGCGCGCTCTACTTCGCGATCAGACTGTGTGACTTTCTGTTGACGGTTGAAGACATTCTGTGCCTCACGATGCTGGACAAGACTATTGTGGGCGGCAGTTGGGAGAGCGTGGTAAGTCACATGTGGACAGTTCAAAATCCTTCGTCCGTGATTATCGCATCTCGTTAAAACAAAAAAAAATAATTTATTGTGAAATGATTTTCATATAGAATTTGACATTCTATAATACGATTTGACGAATGAATGACGAATTTGACTTTTTTTTTCTGGGTGCCAGTAAATTTTAAAAACAATTCTTTCATAGTAATGAGGCCGCACAGATAAAAGTTTAATCAATAGTAAAAAAAGTAAATTGTACAGTACACACATACAGTACAGTAATAGAGGCAGGTTAAACAGTTCGAAAACTATTCCAATTTCAAATATAAAAAAAAAAAACGCCCGACGTCACTAGTTACGGCGTACAGCCGAACGGGGCCCTATTACGCAAACTGTAATACGCTTAAAAGGCGACCGGCTCTAAGGCCGCCGCCATTGAACCGGGCCGTGCGTGCCTTTGGGTTATGGTCTTGCGTTCTTTTTGTGTTAAGCTCTTGACATTGCCGCTTTCACGGCTACGACAGCGACGCGTTTCGAATACGCCGCCTATCTAAAAGTCTAATCGAACATTACAAAAACGACATGTACAGTTCGAGATGAAATTTTTGTACATATTGATTTTTTTTAAATGTTTGTCGTCAAGTACAATCTAGCTGTTATAGTCCATTGCAGCAGTAGTTTCATTAATAGTAGTTACGTTTTAATATTTCATCTTAAAAAATATTTTATTTGAATTTTACTGAATTAATTTAAAAGCATATACAAAATAAAAAAAAAGTAAATAAGTTTACTGCGGTAGAGCAACTCATCATTTTCTGTTATACGAGTGGGGAGTCTTGTTGGGGGAAGTACCACTGCCTTACAGATAACCGATTGAGAAGTGAGTGTTATATTTTTCCGCTCTGGTGAGTTAACAGAGGCCAGCTGTTTAAAAGGTTAGCAACATACTGGTATCAGCAACCGCACAGGTTTTGAAGATGTCCATGGGCGGCGGTAATCATTTAACTTCATGAACGCTCTTCTCGCTTATGAAGCTTCACTTTTTATAAATCAATTTTATATTCAATCTTATCATATAACTTTCGCCCTATACGTTGCTTATGCCCTTGACGCGTAACATCCGTGTTAAAGATCGGTTCGTATCAATCAAGAATATCGCTTCCTCATGATATCTGGGGGATCAAGTAAATATTGAACGATTCCCGAACGCAAACCTTGACTGGATATTTCGAGTTTAACGTTTATTATATATTAATCGTAAACTCAAGATCATTCTGGATAAGCTCACGCTTTACAGTCCCATTTTATTTATAGTAGTAAATAAAAACAATATTGATGATGAATAAAATTCGAGTTTAAAGTACAAGTTTGAAAGTAATCAAAATCATTTTTGCTCAGTTAGGCCAGATGAAAGGTTCTTTTTTATTTACAAATTGGTTCCACCTCTCCACATCACTATTCAGCAGTGATGTGGACGGTGGTAAACGCATAAATATAAGTTTAGCCGAATCCACTCTTGCTGGGAAAACTGACGCTGCTAAATTCACTACCACCTCACGGCTTTTAACGTCAAAGGGGTTTTTTGTATAGTGTGGATTCTACCTAAAATTTACCATAGTAAGGCGAAATTCAAGTAATAATTCAATAGGATAAAGTGAAAGTGCCAGAAGCTATCTGGCATAGCACTTTCGTAACCATTTTACGATACAGCGATGGCATTTCCGAGACATCAACATGGCATTAGAAAGCTGAGGAGACGCTGGCAGGGACCTTACGCCTCAAGAGCGTTTTTTCGCTCGGTTGCCTCACTGTAGCACACTTTCACCGCTCGTACCTACCTACTGCAATTCGTCCCTGGTGCTGGTTCGATGGTGTCAAAAGTTAAAACGCTTGACAAATGCAGGACGATCAGAGATAAGCTGTCTAAATGTTCGTAGAGGCCTAAGCAGCTAGAATATATAGGCGGTGTTGCAAGAGTTTGGCATTTTCAGAATCAGCAATAAACGGCCAAGACTGCTGGTCCATCCCTGAGTACTCGAGGAAAGTCCGGTCGCTTTGTTTAGTTCCCGGATCCGAAACAATCCAAGATCAACATTTTTCTCTCTATTTTATAACGTTCACTATCTTTCGTCGAATGGAGTTTTTATGAGACCGTCAACTGTGATGCAATGGCATAGAAATGAAATAGCGATAAACAAGCATTCATCACGAAATCGGTAAGGGAGAACAAGTCGCGTAGGTAAACTGAGTCACAGCGCATTTGTCGCGGAGACGTTTAATATGTCACCAAATTTCAACATGGGTTATTAACCCGCAACGAAGCAGTAAACACTTCGTATTAGACGGCTCTATGAATAGATTCCGCGTACTTGAACCGACGCGTATAGTGAATGGTCGAGTGCCGTATTTATTATCCGATATTGGCCCGTGTTTCCAATGCTATTTTCAAAGTTGCATTCGAATTTCAATGCGCCGATGTATTTAATTGCTGAAGATTTAGTTTCATTATGGAAAAAAGTAAATGTTTTTGAATAAAACAGTTTTACGGTTTTTATTTAGATATTCTATTCACGAAATATTTTAAAAATCTATCATAAATAATGATAAATCATTAATAACGAAAATAAAAAAAACAACTGAAAGAAAAGACAAAGTTAATGAATTGTTAAACGTTTCGAAAGTATTCCCCATAGAAATAAAATAATTATAATAAAAGAGTGATTTAAAACACGTTAAAATTAAACGTAACGGAATTAGGTCGTGAAAAATTGTTTTTCTTTCAATACATAGTAGACGCAAAGAAATGAAAAGATCATAATAGGATAAAACAAACCAAAATATTTACATTTCAATTAGAACAGAAAATATATTTTTGACAAATATAAACCGGTATAAAATTGTTCTACTACAAACGGTATAAAATCGCGATGAGATTTATTTGAAAATATACTTACTCAGAACCAAACACAGATTTGTAATAAAATTAATCCGTTAATCTAATATATAAAATTCTCGTGTCACGGGGTTCGAACTTGAACTCCTCCGAAACGGCTCGACCGATTTTTACCAAATTTTATATGCGTATTCAGTAGGTCTGAGAATCGGCTACTATCTATTTTTCGCCCCCCTAAATGTTAAGGGGGTAGTCCACCCCTAAACTTTTTTTTATTTTTTATATAAAACTTTTTGTTTCTATTTTTTTATGACACAGCATACAAAAATACATACAACCCTAAATTTTCACCCCTCTACGCAGACGTAGTCGCGGGCAGCAGCTAGTCTTCATATAAAACTTTCAAATGAATAGATATGCACCGAGCCCAAAGAAGCACCCGCTATAAATACACCGCGTAAATATTATTAGACGTTGCATTGAACAACGTAAGTATTGTTCGAAATAGCCTGTGGTAAAATTAACACGAACCTTTTAGTGCCATCACCTTCGGTTTTATAATAACGTCCACAAATAACCTGAAACATGCACGTCCAGGCAGAAATGTAACACATGCGCGTACTGAGTTACATGAACTAGGGCGATTTGAAGACTGACCGAAAGCAGACGTGGATAAGACTCGACTCGCGTTATATTTTCGCACGATCAATTACCTGAAAGAAAGAAAACACCACAGTTACTAGGGTTAAACTACGAAGACACCAAGATACCGCAGACGTTACAGAATCAAGACGCACTGGAATTACAAATAAAGGAGCACAAAGATAATGCCGTCGACATTGTGCTAGGCTTCATTTTTCCGTTTTAATTGGACCGTGTTAACACTGTCCGGCAATAGAGCGACTATTTTGACGTGACCCCATTCGCAATGCGACCCAAATTCGCAAAATTGCACCAGCCGCTTTTTTTTTTTCCTTTACATAAACCCATTAAAAATAATGTTACAAAACAGTGAGTGACACAACACGCGTTCGGGCAGATTTATCGTGTCAAAAAGCGAGAACTCGGGAGTGTCGTCTTTTATCAAGGTGTTTAAAACATCACTTTCACACTTTCTGCGGAAAAATGTTACATAATCAATTTAGTCTCAAAATTGTAACGCGTACTAATGGAATACCCACATTATTATCAATGTAGATCACAGGCGGCTTTTAAATTTTCTTGAGAATTCCAATAAGCCGGTTGTTTTGTAACAGAAATTTTGCTATCAGTTGTCATCTCGACATTGGTGGGAAATATTCTATAAAATGGGGACAACATATTACACAATAATAATAAAACTCATTTCAACGTTCGCCGGTAACATCAATCTTGCAGTTACAGCCATTTACTAAAAAAATTTACAACCAACGTTTCGTAAACGAAATCGTCGCATATTCCAAGGGCGATGTTACAGTTAGAATTCCATTTCTCAATCCCTTCATCGACCTAAAATCTATTTCGATTCGTGATATCGAATAACATGTTTGCGTACGTGCCTAGAAACCGAGATACCGTGACCTTGGCGCAATAGTTATTATTGCGAGCCTACATTCTTTTGTTCGATATGAACTTCCCCCAGACTTTTCTGCTGACGTATTATTAATTGAACTTCGGTTTCACGCGATACTGCCAAGTGCTCCAGCGATGTGAGACATATGTTTTGGCCGACAGGTGGTATCAGACATGTGGGCACCGGGCGAAGGGCTCCATTGACGTATAGACAGAGACGGAACACGAAAGTATGGTAATAGAAAGAGACGCTGCACTGCTCATATACGTCAAAGTCGCGCACCTAGATAACGTTATTACTACAAACACTTCTAATAATCTGGCCAATTTATCACATGTCGGAATTGATGCAACGGGCAAGGATTTTTATCTATATCTGCCCATGGCCTTAATAATCTAATTAAGGGTTTGTTCTGTTCCAGGTGTCGAGAGACGACTACGAGATAGACTACAGCCCGAGTCCAAGGGGGTCACCTTTGAAGGACACGTCCAACATCCAAGAGGAGCACGCCTTTTGCATCAGCCGTCACAATCCAAACAAGACTTTCCGTCGCGAATCTGTGATAGCCTCATGGAGGAGTCTGAAGAAAGAGAGGGAACAGGCGCTGGGCAAGCGATTCGTTTACGTTGACGCGGACAATTACGAGGACTATTACGGCCGCAATAAAGTGAAACGCTGCAAGAGCGATAGGACAGCCAATATTCCTCGCGTGAACAGAAAGGTCAAGCGAACGTACTCCGTGCTGTACAGATACGACCCGACGGAGGAGAAGGTGGTCAAGGAGTACAAATACCAGATCCCCAGGGAGCCGGACACGCCGGTGTACTCGGGCATGCAAAAGTCGTACTCTGAGCCGTTCCTCAGGCCGGAGACCGCGCCGAAGAAGAAAGCGAAGAGATCCTTCACAACGCTGCTGAGCATCAAAACGAAATTCCTCAACATATTCGCTTCAAAGATTTAAATGCAATAATCAGTAAGGTTAAGTGTTCAAGTTTAAATTGCTCAATTAATTGCATTTCTTTAATTGTAGTGAGCGCTGATTGGCGGTGCTTTATGACGTTTTGAGCGCCGTCTTTAGTGATAAAGTGCCAAAAGTATTAAAGTAATATAAGTAGTTTTATATGTTTCCGCCGGAGTCAAAATTGAAAGCTGCACGAAACTAATAACATGCGATACACTTGTTACATTTATATAATGGAATAGACTGTGTACAATTGTACATATATTGCTTATAAAACTTTAAGCAGTACAAAGTGACCTTAGAACACGTTTATCGTAATCCTTAGCGTAATGACGACGTTTTAGAGTCACTCTCTAAATTGATAGTTCGTGCAGCTGCCTGTCGGCCGAGCCGCTGTTCCGTTATCAAAACAGAAAACACGTGTGCCCCGTCATGCACGACGACGGGAAATTTTTTAAACAAACACGCGCGAGCTCATGCGCTCTGTTGATACATGTACGGTTGTGGATAGGAGCGTATTTATATTCTCTATATTAGCGTTAGCAATTGAAAAGTACCATTTTGTATTTATTTAACTAACTGTAATAATCCAAGTAGTGGTTGCTCCGCGTAGATTTCGTTTAAAATTGTTTGAGGTCGGTAAACTTGTACTTTTCCAGATTCGTTTGGTAAAGGCGATGTATATTTGTGAAATGAACTTAGATTAATATTAAAATATAACTTTTATTTCGAGTCATTAGTAATAGTCTTTAATTTTAATTTGTGATATTAACTTATATTGCTTCGTGGTTGTAGTTCGCTGTAAGGTCAATGCAATATTGGGGTGTATATTGTTAGTTGTAAAATATGTGATATTACACTCAGATCAGTGTAGAAGTTAGTGATCCACTCTGTTAACGTTCATAACATAATTAAACACCCTAAAAACTAAATAAGTTAACAGAACAGTTTTCATGAAACTATTTTAGTTAATCTACATAAACCAATGAGTGGGCTTATCATTAGTTCTTTATATTTCATATTATAAAGAAATATAAATGTAACCATAAATGAAAAGTAATCATGTACTTCATTCCTGATTTGTAAAATATTCACCTTTAGAGTGGTATATTGGTGTATATTAAATTTAAAAATAGACTATGAATAGGAAACTTACAGATATTATATTAAGTTTTTATTGTGCGACCTCCGCACTTAAGATGGCACAAAAAACTTTCAAATAAGTTGAAACTGTGTTGTGTTAGGGTATAAGACATTAATGTAAGATATTAGAAAATATACAGTCTTTGTAATACTTTTTTGTTTTATTACATACTTCCTTCAAACATGTAAATACATTTTTTCTTTGAAGTTTTGAAAGTTAACAATCAGTTTTGTTGCAACATAACTCGTTACTTTGAGATTTATTGTGAATCAATACTATGAATATGATTAGATTTATTGAAGCTAAAGGAAATATCAAACGTACTACTCAAAGCGAAAATATGAAACGGTAGTGACAATGTGAAGAATTTTACGTTCTTCATATTTTTACAACAGTCGATGATGTTTTAACTGTTAGCACTTATGGATAAATCTACCCTATGTTAAATTATTCGTAATAGAATTTAAGTATCAAAGAGTGAAATAAAAAAAAATCTTATTTTTTCTTCTAATATATTCCATAAATATAGAGATTTGTAGTGATAAATATTTTATAAGCTTACCTAATAAATGCAAACAAACAAATGATCGCTCAAAGTGATTGTCAAAGTGGTTTTACTACTACGAAAAACAAATAATAAAATATATGAAATAATGCTATCCAGGTTTCATGGAGCTAATTTTATAGATGAGCTGGTCGCGTTAAAGCGAAAACGACGTGCGTTTGCACGTCAGCAGTCAGAAAAGTGGTTGAACTTCATCATCTTCATATAACTAACGTTTCGTTTTCGCTTTCATTTCGCAGACTGTTTATTAAAGCTTCATTGGACGCAGAACCCATGTACCAGTCAGATTTTAATACGATCCTCTACGTTGGGAAGGGTACATGTGTTCAGCCGTGCATCCTCTACTGGTAAGTTGAACCCTTTAGTGCACGCTACCATGGCTCGTAGCTTCGACCTTGGGTTGCTATTCCACTTACAGACGGGTGTTGCAAATGTCCATGGCAGACGGTCATCATTTAATATCAGATGAACCGCCAGCTCTTTTGCCACTTTCTAACGTATAAGATAAAGAAAAACATCTGAGATTGCAACCTTAGAAACCGTCCAGTTGTATCTCTCCCACGGCCTCAGAGCCCGCACGGGGCAAGGCCGGGCGGCCCTCGGGGGAAATCTTATGTTGTGCGGTGTAACTGACGACTTTGAAATGGCCGGTGGTCAATTCGACTGACACATGCCTTGGAGCTATCCATCAGTTGTGATTTTCTCTTCAAGCGTAGGGACCGACGCGCCAAGACAATGTCATTTTGTTTATGACCTCTGGGAAGGCATTGACCAATATGGAAAATTCCCTACAATGAACGTTATTTTCTAAATTAATCCTTATAATATTATTATAGTAACAAACAAAATGGCTTTTGTAAAGGTATAATTTGTATTTAACACCAGTGTTTAATAATCTGCTGATAATATTCTACCCCTCAATATGAAAAAATAAGGTCGTATCCCTACGAATCGGAATCTACTGTATACACACATCTGCCATTTAGTATTTGTGAGTAATTATTATTAGATTTCGCCATGACTACAGAAATAAATTTTAGTTACCAGGGGCTATATGAGTTTTACGGCTGCGTATGTATGAATGACGCGTTTGACTCGGTGGCTCAGCGATTATTTTTAATGTGAGTTCCGCCTTTAACTCCCAAGGGAACAAGTTTTAAACATTTAAAACATAAAAACAATTGAATCGATACAGTTGTCATTACTGTAAAAAATACTATATAAAAATATTAAATACTATAGAAAATCAATAGTATTTCATGTAACTGTATTGTTTATGTAACCGTATATGGGAAGCCTTTCAGAAAAAAGTTTACAAAATAGTCACCTTTCGTTGCACTCATTGAATCTACACTAAATTTGAATGTCTGGATTAAAAAAACGCAATAAAGTAACAGCCTGCACAAGTGTGGTGTCTGTTTAGAAATATATGTACCATTGCTGGGTAGGGACCTCTATACACAGGGTACAAGGTACAAATCCAGCAATGAACAATTCTAATGGTACCAGCACGCCACCGTGATATGAACCCGGGTTACCCAATTTATTGAATTAGTTAATACGATGAATTGGCTTCGGATACTGAGCTACTGTGGCTCTTACCTCTGCACAACGCTTAAGCACATTTTAAGTAACGAAAAACAATACCTACTTCAAACACACACTATACTTTTTAGGGTTCCGTACCTATTACTAAGACTTCGCTGTCTGTCTGTCACCGGGGTGTATCTCAAGAACCGTGATAGTTATACAGTTGAAATCCTCACAGATGACGTACATATTTCTGTTGTCGCTTTCTTTGTTGTTAAATAAATACTAAAAAACAGGATAAAAAAAAATTAAGTGGGGCTCCCATACAACGGACATGATCAGGTTATCACTTAACATCAGGTGAACCGCCAGCTCGTTCGCGTTTTTCTCACATAATAAAAAGAAAAACACTATCGATTTGATAACCTCCTCCTTTTTTGAAGTCGGTTGAAAATTATATACATTTGACCAAATTGCTGCATTACAAAAATGTACTGTGCTTTGTGTCGACTCGGTACCTGGCGCTGGGTGCCCGTGGGAGTCCATTTCGACGAGGGGCGAGGGTGGCGAATTGCAAGCGTCGCGTCGTCTGCCCCTTTCAGACACGGGTTACGTCACCGAATAATTTTATATTTGAGTAGCTTTCACCTCTTGTGTATTATCTATATGTATTTATTTTTTCACAGATATTTTTGTTGGTACGCCATAACTCCCATAATTCTTAATCAAATTTAATCATTCTAACACCATTGTACACCTACATTTAATGTTTGCCCCTATTGAAAAAACAGACAAACAAAGTCAAAGTTTACATAAAAAAAACTTTTTCTTAATGTATGTTAATGACAATTAGTTTAAATGAAATACAGCGAAGTAGACAGAATTTTACCGTTGTTGTTCATATGGACCTTTAATTGATAAATATTTAATTGCACATTATTTTGTTTCATTCAGTGGTCGATCACGGTATTGTACGAAAATTTCGCAACGTTTTTCAAACAATTTTTTCCACTAGTATTATTTAATTAATTTTGAAGGGATATAAAGTACCGTATGTGTTAGTATGTTACATCCATTCTGAAGGTCAATTGAGAACAATCAGCTCATGCGAATATAATATTAGTACGAATCTATAAGTTCTCTTTTATAATTTAGAAATAAAAAAAAAATATTAGCATTTTAGGAAGCACTATCTGATATTAAACAATTATAAACAATTTTAATAATCCATGTCTTTCTTTATATTATAATATTTGATTTCATCATTAAGTCGTGTTATTACGAAACGGATGTTTGTTACTCTTTCACGTAAATACTACTGAATGGAGATTAATGAATCTTTACAATAATATAGCTTATACATCAGAATAACACATAGGCTATAATTTATATACATATTTTTATGTGTATCTGTCTTTCTGTCTGAATGCATTCAGCCTATTCTACACAGACGTAGCCGCGGGCAACAGCTAGTGAACGTATAAAGTAATTGAACAAGGCAATTTTAACTTTTCTGGAATGAAAATGTATGTAGTTAAATACATAATGTGCTATCGTCAATGGAAAAATGAATAAAATTATATAAATGAATAAAATTGAGGACAAGACGCTTTCCCTTATTCGCGATTCTCGTAAAACAAGGTCAGTTTAACATGAACTGATAATTTTCATTGCGCTATCGTCTGCGAGACGAAGTTTTACACACCTAGCGGTTTTTATTGAACTTCGATGTTATTCATCTGGGGAAGGGAAAGGATA